CTAATCCAGGCCGGCAGGGCTGATTTAGAGCAGATGCCCTGCCTGAGCGCTTAAGCAACAGAAAGCAGCCTGAAATATTTAATTAGCCCTCAATCGGACTTAATGCATTTAAAAATCGATGAGCGGCCGCATGCTGATGTTAAGGTTTGCAACTTGCACTCTCCTTATCCAACTGATTCCTCGGTGGCGCGTGCACACAAGCAACCGCAAGCCCGGCAACCTTTGCAGAGAGCTGTTGTCACGCCACAGGCCAGCCAGCGGAACCCACCTGGGGTCCGTTTCACAGAGAGACTTAATGCCAGAATTGTCCACTCCTACGCTGTGGGCTGCAGCGGGGAGAGGCGGGTGTCTAACCTCAAATATCCTGCATGGAGCTCCCCAGTTTCGGGGATTTCTCTGGGTCGGGGCGCTCCGCCTTGTTCCCCAAACCAGAAACAGTGGTTGGTGTAATTCTCCCGTTTGCCTTCGGAAGCTGGGAAAGTTTGCCCCCCTGACCTGCTCATGTCCACAGGCGCTTGGCGGAAGGCCGGTGTTCACACGGTGAGGAGAACCTGGCCCAGGCCAGCGGTCAGAAGCTGGCCTGAGACTGAGGCATGAGTGCGCCAGGCTCGGTGCACGAAAAGGAAGCTGTGCAAAGCTTTGCTGCTGATCTACAGTGCTGACGCACTGCTCCGTCTCTAGACAGATCCCAGAGTGGCGGGCAAAAAAGGAGAAAGCTGCCAGGAGGAGGAAAACAATACACTGCCAGCAGGCGAAGACGGAAACCACGGCTGGCAGGCTTCGCAGTACGAAGCGATTGCAGCCCAGTGCTGGAGCCCACTTGCTCACACGCCTCCGCACAGACGCGTGGCCAGCCCTCCTGCGCCTTCCCCTTGCAGGGGAGGCCTGCTCCCCTGATCCCCCAAGCACATGCACAGAGAGAGGAGAAGGAGCGGCTGCCGCTGTCTTTTCCTTGCCTTGCCGTTCCTTCCAGGCAAAGGCACAGGCTGGGCCGGGGCGGCAAGCAAATGGACGGTGTGAGCAGAGAGGAGGCGGCTGGACCATCCCTCTTGGGCAACGGAGACAAAGCACGCACCTGGGTTTGGATCAGCAACATCATTTGGAGAGTTCTTCAGGAGAGAAGAAAACGTACTGCTTACCGCTAGCGGGGTTCAGCTTTCCCCCGTGCCTCCCATTTCTTCGCAAATCAGACTTTTATCAACGCCTGGGTTTCCTAGGTGTGGGAGCACAGGCTACTTAGACTGGCTGGGCTTACGCTCCAGCACCTTTAGAAATGCCGGGTTTAGTGCCATGTCAGTGCTCTCGTGCAAAGGGCGAACATGCCAACTGCCTTCAGGCTCAGAGAGTGTTCTGACCAATATTATGTAAGGTGCATAAAGCAAAAGCAAACACACAGAGTCACAAGGAGGCTGAAATAGGTTGCGCGAATTGCTGCTGGATTTTCATATCTGGTGCTGTTTTCTTTTATCAGCATTCCAAGTGGTCTTGAGTGAGCATTTCGCTTAGAAAAGTGGGCAATTTCTATTTTTTAACCAATATTGTGCGTGGGTGCCCATTCACATATTTATGTAATAAAATTTAAAATCTATTTTGAGAGAAGGGCAACCACAAAGTTCATGTCTTATCCCTCAAGGAAATTCTAGTAAATCAAGCCTCAGCTTTTTATGCATCATGAAAAACCATAAGAATTCTTAATGTAAAGCTTTTGTTAAAAAACACTCAATAATACATATGTTTAATTCTGATATACCTATTTAGGGTAGAAATGCTTCATTATGTGAAATTAAAATTTAAGCCTCTAATCTTAGCACACTGGGTTTTTAATCTCAAATTAACATCCCAGACATATTTTTAAATCAGTTATACTGCAGTGTATTTCCTTTCTCCATTCTTTATCTGTTGTGAGTTCTTTTCCCCCACCCCAATTTCTCTCCTTAAAAAAAAGGAAAGCTATTTAATACTCATGATTGTGAAAAAACATTTGTTCATAATTATCCAGACATATAACTGGAACGCAACTGGTACAAGAGCAGCATGCGAAAAATGTATTTAAGGTCTATCATCCCAAAATGCTGCTAAAAGCTATTAACCAGTACGTGTTAATTGCCACAGCATTCATATTAATTTTCACTTCAGGCCCGACATTGTGGAATATTTCCCTTGATACGTTTTAAACAAAGTTTAATTTAAGGAACTGCTTCTATCAACACTTATGAAAATTAACAGCCAAGCAATTAGTACTCATGAATTATCCCTTCCCCCAGCCTCCTTGTTAAAAACACTTGCTAACAAAGACATTGTTGGTTGTTGTTTAAGACAGAATCATAAATACTAAGTCCAAAAAGAGCCCTCACAGTACTGTGATCCAAATTCTGTAGACCAGTTTTTAGAATCAACCTGGAATAAAGCTTTGTCAGGTCTTTCCAGCTTGGTTTTACTTTATTACTGATTTACTTATTTATTGGTTGGTTATGGCAGCTTGCAAACAAAAACGACAACAGTACAGTTAAGACACAGGAAATATTAGATTTTTTTAAAATGTCAGAACACATAAAACCAAAAGGTGTGCACATTAGAAGACACAGATGTTCTTAGCAACTTCCAGAAAGCAGCTGAACTTGGAAGGCCGTCCAACTCAACAAAAGGAAGGCTTGTGCCAAGAAATGACACGGGTCTAAATGCAAATTCAGGGAGGAACACAATGCTTAAACGCAGAACGCACTTTTTGCATGCAGAAAGCACCAAGTTGGAGCCTGGGGATCTCCAGTTACAGGAATCTTGAGAAGGAGTTTGGAAAAACCAGACTTGCAGCCAACATGGGTGGCTGCAGGGTAGTTTAATATAGTTGAATGTCTGAATCCAGTGCAGCTTTACTAGCATGGGTTATTTTTCATAAAAGGAGGGTTCTTGGAGAAGGATTCTTTAGGGTGACTTCAGGGTGCCTTGCACTTCTGGGTATTTGTGCAAATCTGCTAAGAAGGAGTGACTGCTCTTTTTTAGAGGCTTCACACAAATCTCCCCAAAAGTTAAACAAGTTACATTTCCAGAAATCTACCCTGCAAACCCACTTTAAAGTATAGCTTTACATCTTGAGGTGCCGCCTGTCTTTAACCCCAGTTTCGCTTGTTCATTGTTATACCCTACTCCTTTAGCCCCAAAAGAGTCCTAGAGGAGCTTGCCAATAAAGCAGGCATAGAATAAACCAAATCAATATAAAGCATTGTTAAAATACAGCACAGCAACAGTTAAATGCATAAAAAGCCAGAGGAATTATGGGAGCTCGAACGCATGGAAAAATAAAAAGTCCTCACCTGGTCACACAAAGACACCTAATACTCCACCTGGGCGCGGCTTCCCAGGAAGTGCGTTTGAGTGTCAGGGGGCAACATCTGAAAAGACCCTAAAACTGTATGTTCACCTTCTATCTTATGTGAGAAGGAAGGGAAAAGGAGGCGGACAATGAGGAGTCCTAGAAGTATTGCAGTCCAAAGTCTTCGGTTAGGTAAACAGTAGTGCAATGCTTAGCCATGATGAAGGTTAAACTAACCACGGTTGGGCTTTGCATGTATACACTGCCTGCTTGTGTTCTCTGCAGTGGTGTGAACAGGCTAAACTGCATCTATGGATGAATGCACCACCAGAAGGTACTGGAACCGAGACAAGGAGATTTCTAGTCACATTTTGGTAACTGTTGCATCCAAGCAATATAATGCACTAACTTCATAAAGATGCCATATTTGCTGCTGCTGCTGCTGCTGCTGTTTTTTATATGACATGTGCATTGTAACAGCAGAAACTTCTTGACCAAAATTAATGCCGTTTTGCTTAAATTCTCGTGACAACTGGACTGCCACTGGTAGAGTTTTGCTCACAGAAATCGCCCTGCGTTCTTCTCACTGAAACAGATATGTGATTTTGCCTAGCAAGCAAAGGGATGAAACTTTCTAATAACTATTTAATTTTAGGAAAGAAAAGGGATTCAAAGCTTTGGTTCTAAATCTAAAAGAGGATTTCAAGAGTCACCCCTGCCTCTAGAGTAAATACATAATTAAGTAGGGTTTTTCAAAGCATGCTTAATTAGGCCCCAAAGCCCCCCTTAATAGACTCCCCCATCTCTCCCCAATTAGGCTCCATTTTCTCAGGGGACCGGCATGGCTCAGTTAATTATGCAAATAAGGCACGTACTATTCCCAGGAAAAGAATTATGAATATTTGCAGAAAAACACATCTCTTAGCATTTAGAAGGAAAAGAAAAAAGACAAGTGTTATACCTTAAAAAAACAACATCAAGCCACTGAGTAGCCCTGATAATATAGAAAGAGTCATTAAAGTTGTTGATTTTGATGTGGGCATGACAAAAATGCTACATGACTCTCATTAGCATGATAAAAATAAATACAGAAATGGAAGGCTACATAAGGCAAATCAAATGCAGCGCACATTTCTTGCGTTGCAGTAGGATCTGAAGCGATGGCTCAGTTGGGAACCAGCTTGCTGTGCTTTTCAGAGTCGAGCAATGTGTATAAGGAAGCCCAGGAGCAGTGGCCCAGCTGACCAAACTGGGCTTTGCACTGAATATTTCTGCTTTGATTTTGGCATTGCTCTTGTAGTTAATATTGTAGTTCATATTTGCTTTGATTATATTATTGTATTTGTATTGAACTGTATTATTTCTGTGTTATTGTGAGCCACCCAGAGAGCCATATGGGCTTTGAGGCAGCATACAAATGTAATAAATTAATAAAAATAATAATAAATCACACTGCGGGCTCAAACATTATCCTGCATGTTACGCATGTTTAGCCTTCCGTGCTGCCTTTCCCAGCCATGAGAGCTAAAAGCGCACGTGATCGGAAATGCAGTCTTGCACATGTGCGGGGCGTGGCCTTATCAGGGATCCCAAATACACCCATTCGTGAAGTCTGAAATACAGTTGGATTGGGAAGCAGAGCAAAAAGGTTCACTTTGACACATAACTTAAGAACGAGGAGGGATCTTACCTTGCCATCAAATTTTGAGTATTCATTGAATGGGTTGTTCAGCTGCAGAGGGCATTGCTCCAGTCGGACCGAGAGGATCGACGGCTTCATGGCATGTGCCGGCTTCAGCCGGAAGTTCTTCTTCTCAAACAGCATGCTCAGCTCCTCCGCTGCAGTTCAAAGGAAGAGAGATACATCACAAGGCGCGCAGGGTGTCCCCAGCAAAAGGATGCTTAGGACGAGAGCAAGGCAGAAGCTTGTTCCAAATGAGATCCTTATGCTGGAGATGTTCCCAATGGAACTGGGGACTTTTTGGAAGGTGGAAGAACACCTAGAAGTATCGGGAATGTGCGGAACATGTTCAGGATCTAACCGAGCATCAAAGACTTGGGTCTCACTTGCAGAAATTAGTGACACCCTTGATATAATTTAAGGTAACATGGGTGGGAACAAAGAATAGTGTGAGAGAAAGAAAACAACAAGGGTTTAAAGACCTTTTGCATATACATTCAATTCAACTATTGGTAGATCCTTCTCTCTCACACAAACACAGACACACAGACACACACTCACTCACTCCGCCATCACTGCTCTTCTGCTCTCAAGAGCTTTTCTGCAGAAGTTTCTACCAATGCGGTGCCCACCCTGTCAAAACACCATGTCAGTACGGACAACGTAAATGTTGGTAACACGGGGGCACAAGTCAGCAACAGAGCAGTTAGATCCCAGCTCTGAAAAACGGTCCTAGGGCTGTCTAAATCTACCAGCAATCTAGGCACAGGGGCAGCCAATCCACACTTTATTTGCATATGTTAATGGCCAGTTGGGAATATAATCTTGCATTTTAATGTGGAAAACTCTAGATAGTTACAAGCCCGTGCCCTCAGCTACTCTCCCCTAATGGGTCACCCTTGAGATGGGTTGCACTATAGTTTCCAGTATATTCCTGACTGATGGCCATGGCGGCTGGGGCTGATGGGAGCTGCAGTCCAAAACCTCTGGTGGGCACCTTGCGGGTGAAGCCTGCCTTACCCAGAGTCCATCTAAGGGAGGTCAAATGAGGATCCGCAGGCATGGCTTAGGTGCGGGCCAGGGAGATCCAGTCGGTGCAGCGAACAGAGGTCGTGGGGGCTGGTCTAAACTAATTAACCGATCACATTACTGGCCTACATCAGAAAGATACAGCACAAACGAGGATGGATGAATGTAGCCTGAGATCTGCTGTGCTTTTGCCTATTAGCACCGATCTCTCCTCTGCAGAGCAGCTACCGAATCTGGGCAGGTTTTGAGCTACATCTGCTCCAGGAGCAACCTGCCCCCGAACTCAATCAATCACTATTGGCGAACCGGCTCCCAATCTGCCTGCCTCGGCTTTGGGCCGGCTCTTTATCCACATTCCTGGATCTGTGCACGTCCCCAAGATTTACAAGCGGCCCCTCCTGAGGGTTGGAGCGGCTGCTGAGACAGATTGAGCGGGGACTTCCAGCGCGGATGCCGCGCACGTGGCAGGAGGAGGAGGAGGGGGCAGCTTTGTTTGTTAAACGGTGGAATTAAAACTTGCCGAACTGCGACTGAGTCATGGCTCCCGCTACATGCGGAGCCAACCGCTTTGCCTGGCTATTGAGATGGAGCACGTGCAGCTGCGGCTGCTGGGACAGATACTCCATCCCCTCTTCCCGCCGAAAAAAGCACCATCAAACCCGGCCTTAACTACAGCAGTGGAGATGCCCTTGAGTGTTCCGTGTAAGGCAGGCGGTGTGCCAACTATTCTCCCGATTTTGAAACCGGCCCCCTGCAAAAAAGCTCATTTGCAATGATATTCTCAAGGAACTGTGTGCAGTGAGTTACTTCTGGGCCGTTCTGCATGGCTCCGAGTCCCCCGGAGTTCCGGGCACACGTTTCGTTGGCGTGAGCACAAGCAGCAAGTGCTTCAATATGCCGCTTTGTTCCTAGTGAAACGCCGGCATGGGAGGCCTTGGTTTATCATCTCCTCTGCTGGCACAAATGATGCGCGTGCCTCCGGAGCCGCTCTCTCTGGCATCAGCTGCAGTTGGCTCCTCTGGCCAAGCCAAGGCCTCATGCCACCCCGGGCTGGCTGGGGCATGCCGGGAGCTGGAGGGCGTTTCGCTTTGCTGTCTAAACATGCACGGGATTGGGGGCTAAGGGGCCGATGGTGAATCATCGCAGCAACTTTTTACTGGGGTGAAGAGCAGCATTAAAGACCTTTAAATGAATCAAAACGATGCGGAAGCAAGAACAGTGGGTCTGCTCTACCAGGACGCTTTCAAGGTTACCATGAAGTAATACTCATGGATGCATACGTGAAGTCTGACTATGTGGCTGGGTGGGGATGTCAGAGTCTGCTTGTATGAGACAGAAAGTCCTGGGACATGGATCATCTCTTTTCCAGTTAGGTATTTGATTTCTTTTCTTTTTTTTTTTTTAATTGTAGACCCTTCCTTCTGAAGATGGAAAAAATCAAAGTAAGGCAGCTTTCATATTAAAAATGGGGCAAATCACAACACAAAACCCAGCACTCCTCTCATACGGCCGCAAAGCAGCTCCATTGAGAATGTAAAAGCAGCAGGAGCTGGAAAACACAGCGGAGGTTTTGACTAGAAGACACCCACCAGAGCAGGACCTTCCATGGGGGAAAAACCCAGGAAGATGCGCCATCATTCTGACAAAACCAACCAAGCCAACACCCACAAGTCCTACTTCCGCGGGTACAGTAACTGACAGGTGCGAGTGGAACAGTTTAGAGAGAGCAGACAGCAAGCAGATCTGCCAGCATTGTGCCAGAATTGGGGGTGGGCGGGGGGTGTTGGGTAGCAGTTTTTAAAGAAGTCAAGGGTATGATGACGTAAGTTATACTATTGGACACACGGCTTATACAAAGGGGACGGGTTATGAAGGAGAAAGTGTCCTGCATATACAAAGATTAGCTCATGCATTTATGTTTTACAAGAGGAAAAAAAATAAGTGAACACCCCTTCAGTTGATGGATGGCTCAGTAGATGAAGAGATATATAATTACATATAAATTACAGAAGCTTGTGGACACACATCACACAGACACAGACACAGATGCAGTTGGTGGGAGCTAGGGAAGAGAGACAACAGAAGGATAAATTTATAGAAAAAAATGAGTCTTTTTATATCATTTTGGAAATATAAAACTCAGGATGCAGTGGACAAGCTATTAAGTATAACTTAATCCTTTAAGGGGAAAATATGGGAATATACAGCAAACATATTTACGTGTATTATGTTTATTATTATTTCTTTATTATATTACCAATATTAAATTTAGCAAATAAACTATTGAAAACAAATGTCTAAACTGAAGGAAATCAGGAGGTTGTTACATGATTTAGGCACTGAGGCTCCAAAGATGTTTTCTTTGGTCCCTGCAAGCTCGTATTACGGTTAGCAAAACAACAGGCCCATTTTCTCTTATCAAAAGATTAATTTTCAAGGCTTCATTTTTCCTGGTGGAAAATACCTCTTCACCAAAATAAACCATGACTAGAATGCACAATGAGGGGTAGGGGTGGGCAGAGGAATAACCCCCTCCCCAGCCTTTCCTTGGAATTCAAGGGTCCGGACAGTGAAGGGAGTTTCTATGACCCACTCCTAAAATCAGCTACGGGAATTGCAAATCTTGGAATATCGTCTGTATGTTCCACTGCTTTCTACAAGTCACTTGATCTACAATCAGCTGGGATGCCGGCAACCCTCACAGCACTTTGGAGTGGGAGCGAGGGATGAAGAGGCCCCACTGGGATATCGCGTTTCTTCTATTCGCTTCCCTTCCCCTGCCTTGTCCCTTCTCCAAAAACAGCTGGTGTGATTCCTTCAGCATCAGCTACAAGCCAGGGAGAGGGGGCTCTGAGGGAGGCTCCCCCCCTCCCCAGCTCTGAAGTTGGAGTGTATTTTCAGCCCTGTAGCTCAAATCAGAAACATCCTCCGGCTATCTAGATTCTGCTCTGGGCACTACCAGCTATAAGGTGAGTTACCAGCAAGGAAACCACATACTGCTGTTCCCAGTAAATGAGGCAAAATGTTGGTTTTTTTCCTCCAGACTGTACATACAAACAGGACCCGCCAAGGAACAGATACGTGGTCGAGTCACTGGTCCATACAGCTGAGTACTGTGAGCATGGATTGAAAGCAGCTCCAGAGAAGCCTTCTCCAGCTCTCCCTGGTGATACCAGGGACTGAACCCAACGCCTTTGGCTGGCAACCCAGGTAACTCTGCCACTCCCGAACAGCCAACATTCTCTGCTAGCATTGCCGGGAAAGACAACGGTAACCAGCAGCGTCAATATGTATGCTTGTCTCTGTTTTGACTTATCGGAGAGAAACCCTGCTCATCTGGTACAGTATTCAACAACCAGAGGCGAAGGTCATCATAGAAGCAATGGGTGCAACATTAAATGCCTGCTGGGGAAGGAAGGCCACTGCATGAAGGAAGAGCCGGAGCAGAAAGCTCACTCTGAACCAGCAGGGCTCTTCTTATGCTTGTGTGTCCATTAAATTGCGAAGGCAGCGGTTGGAGACCTCTGGGAAAGAGGCCTTAACAGAGAAGGGCGTTTCTCTGGGCGCTGGCCCTCACACCGTTTTGAGAAGCACCTCAAGAAGCACCTGAGAAAATGACCGCCGCAAGTGGGCAGGGATACCTGGGACAAAGCCAAGCAGTCCCCTCCCAACAGGCTGCATGTGTCTCCCCAGTCACCCAGTGCAAGAAAGAACCACCAGTCTCAACGGAGCAGGCTTCCTACCACTCTGGAGGCTTCCTGGGGGTACCTGGCTGGCCACTCTAGGGAGAACAGGATGCTGGGGGAGGCCTGATCCAGCAAAGCAACTCTGACGCTGTTAGCCGGCAGGAAATGTTTTCCGTGATGGCTCTTTTGGGGAAAGGCCTGCACACCGGTATTGTGACGGAATCATCCTGTGTTGCATGGGAATCTGGGATGTATTCCTGTTCATGTGAGGCACCACAAAGCCCAAGTCACTGGGCGGCACTATCAGCCTACTTGCGGAGGAAGCCCCAGAATCCTCTAGACAGGCTCAGAGTATTCCTGTGCTAGAGATTTCCTAGAACAGGTAGACTTTTATATTTTTCTGGTCGCTGCCAATCTTGTAAGATCTGAGTGATATCTCAGCAGTTGCCTGCACATGGAATTCTACAAATCAATGACAACAGTTACAAGCAAAAGCTCAGTATCATTTTCTCAAAATAATAAACCTTTATTTTTTTTACCTGAATACGACGTATTTCTCTCTTTCCACTGCACATTCTTACACTTTATCTGATTTTGTCTCTCCTTTCGTAGTCGTTCCAGTCTCTGAGCTGGAAAAAAAGAAATATTATAAAGACACGTTTGTCAATGAAAGTTTACTATAAACAAAAGACATAATTAACTACCTTTCTATGAATAAAGATGTTTTATGCAGCACATGTAGGGTGGGAAAAAGTCATAAAATTTTAAAGGTGGCACCCCTGAAAAGCAAATACCAACAAAAACATGAAAATGTTCTTGATTTATAATTGAAATTAGAGGATATAAAACATTAATAGAGATCATAAAGATAGTATTAACATGGAAGAGAATAATAAAATGTGAAAACTTCTGTGATTAATATGACATTTCATTATATAAATCATTAATAACGGTCTTAAAGGAATTTTAATGCACAAATGAACTGAAGTGAATATTACATTACAGGAATAAAATTACTGTTATGAATTACTCTCCCCGTTTCAAAAATTAAAGATAAATGAACTCAGACTAGACTATTAAAGTTTTAAATATAAAATCCTTTATCTAAAAAAATCATGAAAATTATAAAATGTCAACGCTATATAAATTAGCATAGCTTTTTCTTCAGTGTGCCGAAACAGTTTATAGGTAGTAAAAATAAATGATTTGTATCTTCACAACATTAGTCAAATCTTTAAAAAATGAATATAATTTTTCCTTTAGATATTTTTGACTCCATAGTCAGGACATGCACACATAGGTGGAATGTCAACACCCGGGAGGCTGCGCATCCTCTTCCATCACCTCAAAATCTCCCAGTGTGTTTTAAAAGATGGCTTTATTTCAGGAGAACAAAAAAAGTCAGTAAGATAACCTGAGAAAGAAAAACAAGGGTGTCTCCAAAGGTATAGACTACTAATTGCATAGCGCCCCTATTACAGATAAAGGTACCAGATATCATATAGTTGTTTTGTTTTAGCAAGACAAAGAAACAGGGCTGCTTACCAAGCAAAGCAGACTTAGAATGCAATATAAAGCACAAAATCACACAGAAGTGAGCAACATCGACAGTGAGCGAACCTGCTTAGGACTGGGCAGCCGGTGTTTTAGGGTTCCTGTGCCTCAGAATGACTAGGGGCAACTCACATAGGCAAGCAGCAAATAAGGGGAGGTCCAGAACTTAGCAAGAAGACTGCAGACTGAACGCAAAGTCCCAGATTAAATCCTTTGCATCTTCAGTTATGAGAATATCAGGCAGTAGACAGGACTGAGAAAAGACTGCCTGGACCGAGGTAAGCCTCTGCCAGAAGAACTGATCAGGGATCCCCAACATGGGACCCATGGAGACGTCTCAGCACGGTGCTCCAGGACGCCCCTAAAACATCTTTATTTTCCCCATTGTTTTAGTACATGTACATGGGTTTGTAAGAAATGTGCTCAACTTTTGAGGAAGCAGACCTACACAATGGCAAGGGTGCGACCAAGGAGTCGAACAAACCTTCATTTGAAGTGGAGGTCTGCATGCTGTTTGTTCAAATACTCCAAACTGTCGTAAGGTTCTCAGTCTACCACGTTATAACAAATGAGTGTTTGTTCCGCCAGTGTTGTGGCAAAAGCCTTCAGCTATCACACTTCCATAAAGCAAGTCAGTATTTTGAAAGACAGGGAACAGCAGTCAATATTCCAGGCTGCGCCAGTACAACTTTTATCCATACAGTAGCCTTGCTTTGAAAACTCTGTGTAATGGAGTGCTTCTTTACACAGACAACAGCCATGATTGGATGTATTCTACAATAGTGGTATCCAGTCCTTCTACATCAGAGGACAGCTCTGGAATGATGAGAGAACGTCGTGGGCACTAACACACAACGGCTACCTTTGTTATTTCTATACCGCCCAACATGCAAAGCTCTCTGTGTGGTTCTCAACAGCAATCACAAGGGGAGGAGGAGATTGCTCACTGTATGGTGGGCTTGGCCAGTCACACAACACTCACTTGCCTGAAGGCAAACTAGTGAGAATGAAATGGAAATAAGCTACCCATGAACCTGAGTACCTGGCAGAGTCAGGTCTAGACTCCGACATACCTCTTTGGAACCTAAATAAAGATGGAATGGGCAGGCACACTTTGCGTTGAAGCATGCCGGCCTTCTAGTCAAGCTTTTTTAAAAATATAAAATAAAATGCAAATCAAATACACGTAAAATGCAAATAAAAGGTAAATCAAGAGGGGTAGGGAGCTCAGGAGCCCAAAAGAGGTGTCTGCAGGCACCATGTTAGAGGTGCCTGGTTATGAGGTCCAGGGAAATTCCTAAGAGACACGGAATGTGGGAACAGCTCTGGGGTTTCACTATTGTTTGAGAAAGTATGCTTTAAAGAGACTTTGCAATGGGGAGGGGGAAAGAGGCTAAATAAGACTTCCAGGAGTCTCAGATGGTGGGACTCGTGCCATTCTAATAATGATATGAATAATAACCCATATAAATGCTAAGTAGCAATATTCTTGGATCCTGAGCAACAAGAGTGAGGTGGCCTCATCCCTACTTCAGCTGCTATTGTTCTGTGCAGCAGGGAAAGCCAATTGAAGGAAACTAAGTGCCAACCTACAGGCTATACTCTTTGTGCTTAATTACAGGAGAGAGAGAGAGAGCGCGAGCGAGCATATTTTTCTTATCAACTTCCGTGACAGCTCTTTGTTCCTGCCCCTTAAAACACTTATTCATCTATGGGGAAAGCGAAAATGATGTACGCAGGTTATTTCGGCAAAACGTATTTCTGAGCTCTAGGTGGTGTTGCATTACCTCCCAAACTCCAGAACTTTGATTTCCCCACTGCTTATGAGGAAAATGGAACCATGTGTTTCATTTCCACTATTCTGCTCCAAGTAACTCCAGGATTTTAATTCCCAGGTTCTTCCTGTAGAAGGAGAGGAATCCATTTCCACATCTGGAGACTTAAAAACTGCACCCTCAGGAAGGATGGAGCCGTTAATGCCGAGTGCTGTGGCCCTGATGCTTTGGGGGCCAAGGACGTGGGATAAGTCACATCTGCTTTACACCAGCTGAAATCTGCTTCCAGCTCAGTTTAAAGTTCTGCTGTTGGCTCTGAAAGCCCTCACTAGATGGGATGGGATGGGATGGGATGCGCTGAGCCGAGCTGAGCCGAGCCGAGCCTGAATGGAAGGACGACTGAGGGTTGTTGACTCTTTTTCGTTTTGCTAAAAACCTATTAACATCAGCCAATTGCTTCATAAATGGGATGAAAAAAGCTGCGTCGATAAAAAAGAGGAAGAAAACAAAAAGGATGGATTTCTCCATCCCTGATCGCCCAAGGCCTTAGGCAGAAACACACAGGCTGTGCGCCCGAGTTCATCATTACAGTCCATCCCTCAACTCCATCTCTTCCCTACCAGAGAACTCTGGTTGGTGGGAGTTACTGGACTAGCCTGCTTGGAGGCGACTGTCCTACGTTTCCATGCCAGCTCTGGAAGACAATTCCTCTCCTCCATGCACAGCATGAACATGCAGACTGGATTATGCAAAGAGAAAATCAAGACAGTACCTTTGATAGGCTTGCTTGCAGGGCTCTGGGAAAATATTATAGGGTGGGCACCAAGTAGCAGATGGAGGGAAAGTGTGTTGGCTGCAGGGGAGGGCTCTCCAGATGTTATGGACTACATTCCTCACTACAGGTTCATGACTGCCCTATTCTCATCGGTACTGTTAACATCCAGGGAGTTTTCTGTCAGGTCTGGTCAGAGCTGGGCCCACAAGCAACAGCTGGAGAGGTGCCCAAGACTCTAAACTGAAGAGTCAAGCCAAGAGCCAGAGTCAGGTGGGTGGTGACTGCTGCTTAGCAAAGCCCCAGCCCAAATGGAAAGCCTTTTGGAGGCCTTCCTATCCAGCAGGGCCAATGGCCAGGCAGAGGAGATGGGCCAGTGAAAAGCCTGGGAATGTGCCACTGCCAGGGATAGGTCACTGCCACAGCTCATGATGCGGGGTGGCGGTACAGGTGCTGCACAGCTCCAGGGGTTTACCGCTGGTTCAGATTCCATGCCAGCCTAGCTCTGTACAGTCCGCTCCAAGCAGATGACCTTTCTGGACTGGGGCATGTGTGTCGGTCTGAAAAACTGCCCTAGGCACCAGCCCAAAATGGCTGCCACAAGGGGTGTGATGGAAGACAAGCGACTGCACAGCCACTGGAGCGAAAGGCAAAGGTGGTGTCTGGGAGATCTTTCTGAACCCAGAGTGCCCAGCATCAAGAGAAAGCTAAACTCAAGTGGCTGGTAAGAAAATGCGCTTCCCTCCCACCGCAAAAGCATCTGGGGGCACACTGGTGCCACGGCTGCCATGCTGCCTGCCTGCAGTCTGCTCTAGCTGGCAGGGGCAGTCGCTGGTCTCAGGTGAAGAGAAGTCTTTCCCAAGCTCCTGCTACCTAACCTCTGGGACTGGAGATCTCACGGAGCTCCAGCAGCCCATGTGTGTCCTCAGCTGTCCAGGTCATTAGCTCCGTTAGCTCCTAGAACCCAGCCAAGAAGCCGAGATGCTCCCTCTGCAACTCACCTGTGTTCGATCGCCTTCGGATGCCAAAGTCCCAGCTTGAGGTAATGTCGACTGACTGAGAGTAGACGTAACCCTGAGATTCACCATTGCTGCCCTGTGCTTCTGAGCTGCTCTCCCCATGGGCCGAAGCAGGCTGGAATTTTTCCAGGTCGACATCGTGGTCAATCAGGACCATTTCACACATCCCCGTGTCATCACTGGTCACGTGCGACTGCCGGATGTGAGCCAGGATAATGGTTGGGTTGTCCAAGAAAGCCATCCTGTCCCAAGTTCGGCCACCTTCCCCTACTATCTTCTTCCATCCATGGTGAACCACAAGCTTGAATACCTAGCGGGGAAAGAACCACATTACTTTAAAGGAAAACAAGAAGTGATGCTCTATTCATGGAAGTTCACACAGGAAGCTTCTAACATAGAATCTCACCACTGGTACAGCCAGCTGCCCAACTCACCACTGTGCACACTGATTGGCTATGCTTCTCCAGGGCTTCAGTCATTCGCCCTTGAACCCGGGACTACTTGCATCAAGGCAGGTGCCCCAGCACTGAGTAATGGCCCTCAGTGACCAATGGGCACTGGCCAAGATTAAGAGGAACGTCCATGACTGGACACAGTGTACCTTCAGTTGTCAAAAGCTCAGGACCAAAAACAGGGGAAAAGTTAATTTGTGGGCCTAGAAACGGAGCCTTCGACAAACTGAATCGTCCTTGCGACACAGCATAAATACTCTAGGAGGGGCTGCACAGGCGGGACTACCAGCTCCATGCAAAGGTGCATCCTTCTATGGCGGAAATGTCAGGCAGGTGATGCAAAGCACAAAAGGGCTCAGAGTTTCTTGGTCACAGGTAGAATCATCTATTTTAGCCAGGTGAGCTGAAAGAGATGCTCTGGGGGAGCATGGGGGGGCTGGCTCCAAGTTTTGGAAGGCCTATAGATAAGCCACCCTCTATCAGCCCCCTCCTTCTGTGAGCCTAAAACAGAAAAACACTGTAAAAAAATTAAAAAGCTAGGAATAAAACCACATTCAAATTTCTTATTTCCCTAATTTAAATAGATGTATTTATATACCACCCTTCATAATATTGATCCTAGGCAATTTATGGTGTGATTTAAAAATCTGAAGTAATAAACATAAATTAGCACAATTTAAATAGGAATTAAAACAGCAAAGCAGGAAGCTTCAAAACAGAGCATCTTCCCAATTTTACTTTAGAACACTAACCATTAAAATGCCTGAAAGAACAACCATGTTTTAACAAAAATTGGGTTAAACATTTAACATTACATTAAATGTTTTAACCTAACAGAAAACACAGTGGGTGTCAGGTGGGGGAAACTCAAAACCAAGGGTGTGAACTTATGGGCTCCTGACATTGCATGGGGGCTGCATCCAGGACAGGTCTAGGTTTCAGCTGCAAGACCTGAGCAGAAATTCGGACTGGGGGAAGCCATTTGACCGCCAGGACGAAATCTCTGGGTGCTTGGGAAGGGTTGATGGGGGGAGCAGGAAAATACGCATGAAGGAAAACAGCCCCCTCCAACAGATTAAAAACTGACTGCTCCCAGAATTTAAAACCTTGCCGAAGGCTTTAGTCAATAAAACAGTTCTCCTTGCTCTGCATTTCAGCTACCCTCTTCTCCCTCCAGTCCCTGGCTACTGGTTACACACTCCTGTGCTCTTAAGGCTGGATCCACAGCACAGTTCCATGTAACAGCATCTCACTTCTCCACTAAGAGTTTTGCAAAGCAGCTGCAAACATTCATTTAAAAATAAAATTTGAGAGATTTAAATGTGTGTGCATGACCCAGTTAGAAATACCCATTTGAGATTCACCTTTTTTCAAAAGTCAGTAGGCAGGAGAGAAAGAAACCTGCTGTTATGTTGTTCTAAGCTAAATATCTGCATAAAGCCAAGCTTAAAGTGAAGCTAAGGCTAGGCTAAAACGATGAGGCAATGACACAAGGCTTTCTCCTTAGGAAAAACAGAAGGGGATGGATGAGCAGGAGGAAGACAACTCTTCCTGCAGTGCTGAGGCACGATCTTTGTTTGGCTGGATGCTCTACTGTACCAAACCTACAGGGAGTATTGTGCATAGAAAACAAGAGAAACCCTAAGGAAACAGCTCGCCTGGCATCCCAGAATCCTGAATGTACTGATTCCAGAACGTGGGAAAAGGCCCGTAAAGCACAGGCTCCCTTCTGAAGCTATGAGGATGCTGGAGAGAGGCCGCGGGCCGTCAGACGGAGGCTGCCACAGCCCTCCTCCCTACAAATCTGCATTCCCTCCTGCCTCCCAGACCATCTTTCCAAGCTTCAGTGTTCACACCATCTGCTCCCACCTGCCATGACTTACTGCTGAGAAGCTTGCAAAGAAATCGTCGGAGGGGGTGGGGGAGAGAAGCCTGCTGGAGCAGGAAACTCAGCAGTATTTTTCCACCCACCAAGGACTCCTCTGGAGGAGGAAAGCGATCCCCAGGCCTTCTGCACTGCCTAATTAGCTCTGAAAATGAAGGTGCTGGGAAACCGGGACTTCCACTTCCTGAAACTTGGATGTGCATATGGTGTGTGCACCGCCCGGCTCCTCCGGCTTGCAGGAAAGTGCCTTAATTTTGGAGAAAGAGATAGGCCTCTGCCTCCCAGGGCAGATTCATTAGCTCTCACAGATGCTTAATGTCAGGCAGCTAATGGTGCCCAAGGCTGGCGACCGCACGTGCATGCAAGTGGCGCCTCAGCACTTTAACATCTGTGGATCCCTCCGCGCCCAAACGGCTCCACCACTTGCAGAAGCCAGGGTGGGGGACGTGGACACAAAGCACGGGGGGACGTGGGAGGGAGCGGGGCCCGGCTTTCCGCAGGGGGAGCCACCCACCCTGCGGATGCTGCGACTGCTCCGCCAGGGGAGCGATTGCTTTCCAGTTCCATTCCAAGGAGGCCTCGAGTCCCAGGGGAAGGCGGGAGCCCAAGGTTCTGTCCCTGGATGGGACCTCTGCAAACCAAGAGCCCACCAGAGGGAATGCGGCAGGCACTGGGTGGTGCTTTGAGGATGGGTCCACAGGGCCAGGGCATGTGCTCTGCATTTGGGAGGCATTGGATCCAAGCTTGCCGAATCCTCTCGGGTAACACGTGCAGGAAAAGATCGCTTTCTGTTGGAGACCCTGGGGAGCTGGCCACTCTTCCATGTGAACCAGGATGAGAAGATGGCAGCTCTCCAGAGCTCTTCAACCTTAGCTTCCAGAAGCCCTCGTTATATAGCCTGTGGTTAGGAATACTGGGAGTGGAAATCCAAAGCTGGATCTACTTTCAAATCCAAGTCCAAATCTGGAGATAACTCCAATTTCTGGTCCCTGGCATGTTGGTCTCACAGCGTAACAGTTCCTCTTCATTTACTGCTGGAAAGCCTAGTCCATGGGAAAGAATCCTACACTGTGGAGTTCCCAGATCTTTGGAAAAGCAAAGTGCTACTGTCAGTGGAAGCTGCAGTGTGGGCTTCCCCCACCTACCCCCTGGCTGCATGGTGCAAGAAAGGATCTGCTGTATTTATTCTGAAAATGCACACTACTCCTTTAAGGGCAAAATCCTCAGGGTGGCTTCCCATAGTCCATAAAACATTAAATGCACAGCATTTCAAAGCACAAATAAATAGGAACCAGCCGATAAAACTAAAATACAAATATTACAATTACAGCGAAGCACTTACAGCTAAAATCATTCCACTGGGCAATTCAATAAACCAATCTAGGAGAAACCCACTGACAGCGGGTGATTTAAGGCTTTCCCTGAATGCCTGGAATCCAGAGGCTGATGAACCCAAACAAACTGTATATCCCACAGTCCCAAGATCAGGCCTGAAAAAGGAGTAGCATGGATCTAATAATCAATACTGTCCTACAGGGCCTGGACTGGAGGGGCTACTGTCTCTCCACAGCCTTGCCCCAGGAGGGCAAATCAATCATTGGGTGGTCATGCAGTGTAGTGGTTAGCAAGCAGGATGAGGGCTCAGCAGATGTAGGTTCCCACTCAACTACGAACTTCACTGGGCAGCTTCGTGCCAGACAGAGACTCTCAGCGACCCCTACTCCATGGGGCTGTCATCACGAGGGCAAAATGCAGAGAGGGGAGCCACGTCAGTCTCCTTGGACTCCTCGCAAGAGGAAGAAAGGAGGGCCATGAATGTAATGCAGCAACAAAAATGGCCCAGAAACTCCAGCTCTAAACTTTGCCTCTTCAGCTTCCTTCAAGGCAACAGGGATTAAACTGCTCCTCTAGCAGGTGCGCACTCGCTCTCCATCACAGGGAGGGCTTGCTGTGTGTGCAACAATTCCACAGACACAAAACCTGGTATTTGAAAGAGAAGCATTGAGCGAAAAACTAACTTCCTTTCCTTTTTAAAGTTTCTAGCTCTTACAATAGCAAAGGTACGCTCAAAAGCTTGCTCTCAGAACTCTCAGAAGCCAAAGAGATAGCCGAGGATTTCAGGGGTGGGGGGCTACCATGCTCTGCATAGTGCCTTCCCCTGGATTAGTGAAATCAGAAAAAGGAAACACAATTACCCAAAGAAATACAAAAAGAAAAAAGTGCAAATTGAGAAGGGAGAGAATGAGAAATTCTCCCCAATGTGCAAAAACGGTAAAAATTAAGACCGTGGCTTGGTAAGGTCGTTTCTGGTTTTTTTTCAAGTGGAGTGCATGCAGTTCTCCCAGTTCATGGGCCCAAGATCGAATGTGTAAGACTCATTGCCCTTCTTTGCAAAAGGAGGGGAGAATTCCATGGAAGACCCCAAAAGAGGAGGACCGTGGACCTTGCCCGGCTACGTCCTCTGCTGAGGGAATGAGGAGGTTATGAATTGAACCATGCTGTAAAAACGAACAGTGCCCGGGGGGTGCGCACACAAATGGCAGGCTTGTGAACCGCAAGACCACACGCCATTTCCTTGCAAATACGCTTGAGTCCCCCAGGGACCCGTGCTCGTGGGGGAACCCCTGAGAGGGCCCGACAGACTCGCTGCCGTAGCAGCAGCATGAATTACATGGATGAAAGCGACTGAGAGAACCTTCCTTCAAGAGGTGACAAACCAACTCTATGGACACAAACAGCAGAACCGCTGGAATAGAAAAGCCAGATTTGATTTGTAAAGGTGGATGGGCTCATTGCACGGGCCCTGCTGACCCTCCTTGGATCAGGAGGCAAGGAAAGCAGTCAACACACACAGGAGAGAGAGGGCTGCTGCCCAAGGACAGGCTGTGCTTTGCTTCGGGAAGACAAGGTTGTGATTCAGAGGCAACGGCTGACCACAGTCTGTCATGACAAGCATGAGCCAACAGGGTGCTTCAGTTCACCCTCAAGGAAGGGTTTTTAAAACTATGGGCACTGGCTTGTTCTCAGTTTGCTGTTTGGTCTGACTGACTTCAGGAAGCCGTGGTTTGTAGAAACCCACAGTTAGTTCAACGCCTGGCATAACAAGTTAGAATCAGGCTGCCTTTTATAAATGAAATGAACTGTGTGTGTGTGTTCCTTTCGATGCAGGATCACATGCTATCCTTACGTTAGAAATCTCTTTGAAATGCTGGGAGCGCTCATTACACACCGCAACAGTTACACACAATCTTCCTGTATCAAAAGGAGCATGCATCTCACCTAGCATTCGGTGGCCAATCGTGTTATATTGCCAGACAGTGATGGGAAGCCTTCCAGGCACCGCCTTTCCTTGTTGCCTGTCCCCAGTATTTGGCATTCAGAACTACACTGCTCTTTCATCCCTTATGGAGAAGAGCTATGGATACATCGATGGCGCATGGATGTACCTAGTACATGAAAAAAGCCTTCTCAGATAACAGCCATCACTGCATCCTGTGGCAGAGAATTCCAGCATTTTTTCCTCTTGCTGGTCTTAAATTAAGATAATTCCACTCAATGACCCAGCACTCAGGTGCCACCAGAATTGGGTCACTCTGTAGCCAGCCTGGAAACCTTCCTAGTAGCTGCACCATTTCGGTTCTCCTCCTCCTGGAATTTCCCTAGCTCAACAATATCCTTTCTGGGGTCCAGTGACCAGAAATGTACATCGTACACCATTCTCTAAACAGATCAATACCATGGAATTGCACAAAAGCATTATGGTATTAGCTCCTTTATTTTCTAGTGATTACCACCACGGAATTTGTCTTTGTCACAGCAGCTGCATGGCAGGTCAAATTTTCCCCATGCTACCCACCACTATGCAAGATCACTTTCCTGGTTAGTCACTGGTAGTCTCAGCTCTCAACAACATACACACACATGTTGGGATTTTAAAAACAGCAAGTAACTTCATCACTTTATGCCCGTTTACCTTGACCTGCATTTATTTATTTATTTTTATTTGGGAATTTCTGTATGCCGTCCCATTCGCATAAGCCTCGGGACGGCTTCCAATTTGAAATGTGAATGCGCAACTTCCCCAACTTGAAGAGATGTTATTTTTTCTGTCCCCATTTTGTTTGAACCAATCTAAACAATTTTTCAAGGTAGGGCCGCCTAACACCAGATCATTTCTGAATGAGTTAAAAAGCACTGAACCCCATTCAGATCAAAATAGCCTGAGGGGGCACGGGACAAGGTGCCAGTGAACGAAAAAAGAAGGGTGAGGATACACCAACCCGTTCCTGGATGTCGGGCAAACTTGTGGCTCTTCCCCTGGGTAAGCAGATGCAGAAAGTCTTCCTGTGCCACTATTCTGAGTGACTTGGCAGAGGAAAAGGAAGACACCGCTCGGCCCACGAGTGCCGAGATTTGCCTCTAAAAAGCAACAGCCCGAAGCACCTCAAAGCCCTGGGGGAAAAAAAGGCCCAACTCCCGATCAAAAATTACTGCTGCCCCATCAACGTGTCATATAAATGCTGGCATGTTAATTGTGTATTTATAAGATTGTTAATGGTTAGTTAATTTACCTCCCACACTATTATTGTACTTGAAAATGATTTAACGTCTGCCAAGGGAGTTAACAACATGTTACCAGCAGATGTAACGGCTTATTTATTTATTCATTCATTCCAACCTTTATACAGCGAACCCCGATTTCAAACCATTTCTGGCCTGGATGCTAAACTGGCTGGGGCTTTTTACCTACACCTGGGCTCTCTCTTAACTGCATAGCAGTCAATGGGACAAAAGCCAGATGCGGCCTGCCTACCTACAAGGCAGCAGGAGATGGGCAGCAACCCCCAAGTTCTGCCAGAATGCTTCCCAGTGATGGCTGGCTACCCGTTACTGGAAAGAGAAGCCGGTCAAGTTCACTTTGACCTAGGAAAACTATTCTTTTTATTCCTACCCTGGAGCTTATTCAGACTAATCCTCTGATGCCTAAGCAATGTAGGAGGGAAGGCGGGCAGGGAGGCAAAGATCCGTAACATTTGTGATAAGAACGGTCCTACATATCTGTACCCAAAGTCATATTATGGGAGCAAAGGAATTCTTAAGAATCAAGATATCAACTGCTGCATCAACAGAGAGCCAGAATTATGACAATATACGGATCACAGGCCGACGCAATAAGACAGGATGACAACTACAAATAGTCAATAGGAATCTGAAACACTAATTCCTGCTCTGATTTTCCACCAAATTGTAGCCTCCAGTTCCACACGTTCAGAGAGAAAGCTTAGGCCAGATGTGCCTCCCAGCCCCTCCGTAAAACAATGGTCTTAGTTGCATTAGAAGAGGGATCAAGCAACGGTCCTTCAATGGGCACAGCTTTGGGAAGGAGGGTGGGCTGGGCATGCAACACTGAGCACACCTGCAAAAGTGTGGCAGGGAAGGAAAGACAACAACAGACGCCTTGTGCACTTTTGTAAGTTCTGGATGGTCATGCTCCTCCAGAAAGCACGTGCTAAGTTAAAGAAAGCATCTGTGTCAGAGGGCTAGTCCCATGAACAAGTCCATGTAGGAAGCATCTCAGCAACACACTGCACCCCTACGATTTGATTTGCTCCCATGTAAGCAAAACCTGCATGGGACTGAACTGGGGGATGCCTACAGCAAGGGCAAACCCAAACCTCCCTCCCCAGGGCTCACACACTAAGATCTCACAGCTGTGCAATAGCCGGGGGGGGGGGGGGAGGAGCACGCCACCTCCAGAACTGAGGAGCTGTCCTGCTCCTCCAGACCAAAGGACCGCCCAAGGCCAGCATCCAGCTTCCCACAAGGGCCAGGCTGACCTGTCCGGGAAGCTCGGGAGGAAGCAGCCCTTTCCCATGGCTTGCCCCCAGTTGCTTGTGTGGGGGAGAGACTCCACGCAGCTGCCGCGTCCAGCAGCCAAAGGATTCCGTCCCGCAGGTCTGTCTCCGGCCCAGTTGGAGGGTCCTGGGCCTCAGGTCGAGCAGCCTAGTCCAGCCCCCTAAGGCCCCCCAAATGGCCATGGCACCTATGCCATCACATTTCCCTGACCACCAATCTGGTGGTTTCCCAGTTTCGTCCAGTCCCCACCAACCAATGCTAAAAGGTCAAGATACCTCTCATAAATGTCCATGAGTGACAGTAAGGCCTTACGCTACAAATCGGGCTCCCGAACGTTCCTACCCGTCCATGAAGATCAAGCAAGGAGGTCCTTCTTTAGGGGGCGAGGGGAGGATGCTGGTTAGAAGAATGGCCTTCTCAATCATTGCACCCCACCTTTGGAATAGGCCCCCCAGAGAGCTGTGCCTGGCACCAGGGGTGCTAAGTATTTTGGTGCCATGGAAAGACTCCCCTTTTCTCCAGCTACTTTAACAATGAGTTTTAATCGTTACTTGGTTTTAAATTGACCCCGTGCTCGGTTTTAGTGGATTTTAGTATAAACTAACTTACTCTAATGTTTTATGTAATATTTTAATTTTGAAATACCATGTTTTATATTTGGATTATGTTGCTAGTGTGGTCTGAACAGGATGATTTATTATTACTGATTTTAACATGTTGTGCTGTTCAGTACGTTCTGAGCTGTGCCGAAAGCCCAGACATGTAGCAGCATACAAGTCAAAATTAAAAAACAGACAACTATTTCAGGGTTTGGGGAAGCCCTCCACATCCACCCTCTTTTCCTTCCAGCCCCAGACACAAGCACAGTGCAGCCCTGCAGAGGCTTCCCTGGAACGCAGCCAGCCGCCAGACAGGGGGAGGTTCTCTGCGCCTCTAACATGTAAGTTATCTCCATACATAGTCTGCCTGACGCACCTGTTCCACTACGAATCCGACCAGCCAGCCTTAGGGCTAATGGGGCTGGAGAGAAATCTCATAAAGAAAGAAATATTCTGCCACACTTCCTAAGCAGCAGCAGCAGCCGCATTTGGTGTGCTCCCTGCTTTTCCAAGGTGGGGCCGGTGGAACAGGGCCTTTCCTGTAGTGGTGTCCTGACTCGACAACTCCCTCCCTCCCCCGTGGACACTTGCCAAGGCCCACCCCTGACCATCTGCAGGCAGGGGGCAGGGACCTGCTCTTTGCCGCCAGCTTCTTTGCTTGGGAGGCTGCTGCGGAGACGCTCTATTGTCTGGTTGCTTTTCATTTCTTTTCAAGGTGTGACTGGGGATTGTATTGAGCCACTTTTTGTAGAAATGCTGCTGGCTGCCTCAAGAATCTTTAAGAGGAAGGGGATCCACTCATAAGCAAAGCACATCGAATAGGCTATTACGTCATCTACGAATACAGCTGAAGTAGGAACGCTGTTTATTCACCTCCTGGGGGTAGGAATACGCAGCTCTCCTGCAAAAGCTGTCCCTTAGCAGCCGCAGGAGAGGGAGGAGTGGGTCATCTGGACTTCCCTTTCGTAGCCTGGCCGTTCAGAGCCAAGAGAAAAGGGCCCGGCACCATGACGGTGGAAGCCCTCCTCTATGCTGCTGCCAGTCTCCGCTTGGAAGGGCAGGAAGTACTTCAAACACAGCTTCCTGAAGATCTCGGGAGGCAGGGCAGATTCACAGAGACAGGCTGAATCCCAGGGGATTGTAATATGCTTTTTCTTTTGTATGCCCCTGCCTGGCCCCCAGGCTTTTAAAGCCCGACCGACCGCGGAGCCAAAACTCACCCTATCGGCCTCGTTCAAGCTGCAACCCTCCACGTGTGATGGAGTACAACTCACAGAGTAAGTGGCTTGTGGATGCTGGGACACAGAGTCCAAGCTGGAAATCTCAGCTTTCCCACCACTGCTGGAAAGGCTGGTCTCCAAATACGAATGAATACATGAACTGGGGCACTGTCTGTGAGGAAAAAAAAAAGAGGCAGTGTGGTGTAGTGGTCAAGAGCCTGGGACTGGGACTGCGAATCTGGGTTCGAGTCCCCGCTCAGCCATGGAGCCAACTGGGCCAGTCAGACTCTCAGCCCAACCTACCTCACAGGGTTGTTGTTGCTGTGGGGATAAGATGGAGGAGGAGATGTAAGCTGCCTTGAGCCCTTTGTAGGAAAAAGGCAGGATATAAACTGAAAAATAAAATAAAATAAAAAAAAGGGTCCTGAGACTCACAGCACACCCCAGCCAGCCATGGCTCGGGTGTGCTGGGATTCACAGGACTCCTTTCTGTCTAAGCAGACCCAGCATTGCACCTTTAATGAATTAATCTAAACGGTTTTCCTGGCACAGGCAGCGACACCCTGGACACCTTGCCGCAGGCTAATTTTGAAGAGAAATTAGAGGCATCCTGCTTCCTGACCCACTTTCTCACTACTTAAAAAAAACTGGGAAAAGTCTTAAATCAGCTGTACAACTGTCTAGAAGGCATCAGTACAAATCTCTGCAGTAGACAGAAGCCTGCGCGCCTCAGATAACAGGGGAGAGAAGTGAAAAAGAATAGGCAGCACAACACAGCGGAATGCCAGAGGAAACAAACCCCCACGGAATTATCTGAACAGATCCGGCAATACTTACTTAGAAGAGGAGTCAACCATGAAGCCAAGTAGGTTCTGATTCAGACCACTGGTCCATCTAGTGCAGCCTTGGCTCGTGGCTCACAGAGGCGGTGGGGGCAGCCTGGACGGGGGTCTTCCCAGCCCTTTCAGAGAGGAAGTCCTTCTGAACGAGAGATGACGACGCTCGGCCTCTGAACCTTTTCCATGCAAAGTATGTGCTCTGCCACTGAGGTATGGCCTGGACCCATACTCTGAGTTCCTACATATTTGAAACAGAGAAAGGGGGGAACCAAAGGAATATCACCAATTTAATAGCCACTTCTAGTCTTTCTGGAAACAGAGAAGTGTTTCTGGGGGACAGCACTGCAGATTATCAACTGGCAGACAATGCTGGCAAGCCTATTTACCAAAAATAAATTTGCGTGTTACAAAAGAAATTCTGGTCCAACAATCACATGAACTTTCGCCATTTGACTAGCTGATTAAATTGATACAAAGGTGTATATCTGTGCTGCTTTTCTGGTTCTCTGTTGCAGCAGTAGTCCATCTCAAAACAGGCATTATTTCTTATACATGGGGTGTGCACACGTGTGAAAGAGAGGTTGCTGCAATTTTTAAAAGTACCTTTCAATAGAAAGAAGCCAACTTTTAACAATAGCTGTCATTCATCATTGGCACTTCCCTGATCAGCCAGAGCGTTCTTAATAAATCTAGGCCAGCATTAAGGAACCCTCCAGATGCTTTGGGCTAAAAATCCCAGCATCCCTGATTGAGAAGGCTTGCTGGGGCTGTTAAGAACTGAAGGGCAGAACCTCAGGAGGGCACCGGGCTAGGGACTTAGCCTACGGACACATCTAAGGCCTGCCAAGTCCCCAGTGCATGCTCATGCGATGGGGCGGCATATAAGTTGTTTAAATAAATAAATACATATTTGTCTGAAGCCAGGAGCTCAGCTTTTGACGGAGTGCCCACAACTGACTTTCACTGCCACGTGATGCAGAAGACCAAAACTAACAGCAATATTGTATTTACATAGTTGAGGGATACATGTACTAAACCAAGGCTGCCATTTGCAAAGCTCCCCCCTCACAATCTCATCCGAAGCGTTGCCTGTTGCTAAGAGAGCTCTTCCTTGGATAAACTGAGTTTTCCTCCATCGATATTTTAATCAAATAAATAAGTATTTAGTGAGTGTTTCTGTGTGCAGCGGGGGAGTCACAGTACTTATAAATTAGGCCAGACAAATCCGTTTCTCGACTCCCGCCTGCAAAGAGCATTCTATCAATATAGCGAAATGCTAATCTCCTAATTAACAACCTAATTAGGTAATTATGGCTTTGCAGAGGGACGCCTAAATGAAATATGACAACATGGTCACCTCTTTATATGGCACCTGTGGGCCCTTTCAGCTGTCACTGCAGAGAGTGCAATATCAATTGGAACAGATGACAAAGCGCTGTCATTTTTCATTCCGATATTGCACCGAGCAGGATGGGATGGGAGCAGGTGTCAAAAAACCGGTGTCTTGCCTGATTTAGATATGTTTGCGGCAGCTTCCTTAATTTTTCAAACCACCAACAATGCTAGGAATTCCACATAAGGGTGAGCTGGAGTAAGGAATTCGGACTTAGCCAACATTACCACCACGCTGGTATCTTAACCTCCTTTGAAAAAGCACAGCATGCAGGTCTTCCTCACCCACCCACTCACAAAGAGAGCTCTCTGGGCAATTCTCTCTTCTCAACAACTTTGACATAGGTTGGGCAGAAAGTTCCAAGGCTGAGCAGGAATAGAAGTCCAGCATTCCCACAGTCGATTCCAAGCTGCTACCCCGAACTGAGAAACCTGCACATTACGTTTTTGGATTGCATTTACGCCACCTATTTAATGATCTGCTGAGGCGTAGTGCTTATGCTCATTCCCTCCCCTCATCTCACTCAGCCATGGTGCAGAAGACTTGACGTGTCTGCCCTTATTTTAAACTACCCACAGTTTAGCATGTTGTCTGACCCCTAAACTTTGGTACCCTACTCTTAAGTACTACTTATTGAAACAAACCCCCTTCACAACAACCAATGGCTTCAAGCTAGCTTGTGTCAAGCAAAGCATCGTTCACATTAGCCACATATTACAGCAAGTGATACTTTATACAAAATCCAGAGAAAAACTGGCAAATTCCACCTTGCCGCCCTGTTGAAAATAGCGGTGGGGGGGGGATCATCACACAGGGAGGGCTCAGACTTGTAATGCTCAGCTATGATTTAGCCAGGGCAGGGTTTCAGCTGAAATCCAACTGGCCACCTACCCCAACATGCACAAAAGCAATATTGAAAAATTACCCCCCCCCCCCACACACACACACGAACATGCACACCCCCGTCTGAGCACACTGCATCACAACACTCCGCTGACAAGCACACCACCACCTGGGGAGGGGGAAAGCAGGCGCAACAAGGTTGCACAGATGTAAAAAGCCACGCTAATCAACAGCTCATCTGCGGACTGGAGAAGCAGTGACCTCAAGCACCTACTCCCACAGCCACAACGAAAGACGGCAGCCTTGGGAAAAGGGCCGCTTGACAACTTCATCATGATAAACCACTTAGAGAAACCACTTTCTTCAGGGTCGTGGCAACCTTGGACACCAAGAGGCGCCGAAGCGCTCGGCAAAGAGCCGCATCACGCCCACGCACCCTTCTTCTGCAGAGACTGACTCGGGGTGGACAAGCCCTGCCTCCCTTCAGGGTTCGGAGATCAGGGAGCAACGGCACGCGTGAAAGGACGCGGCCGAGGGGAACGGCTCTGCAGAACGGCTGCTTCTTTGGCCAGCTCTGCTTCACACCAACTGTGCGCCGGCTGTAGGATCAGACACAGCCAGGCGACTGATGAGCATCTAAACACCCAGACTGGACTTGCGTGCTCACATCAGAGAACCCAGACGTGGTGCCAAGCCGCACAGGAGCCTACAACCGGCGCAAATACAGCTCATTTGCCCCAGTCGTTCCTTTCGCTGCAGCCCCATTCAAGAGGCGGCAGGAAAGAGGCCTGCAGTACCCAGCAGAACTCAGCAAGAGGCCCAATTTCTTTCTGAACGTGCACAGAGCCGTGAGCTTGCTCCACTCTCAGGTGGTAAAAATGGCATGGCAGTCTCACACCCTGACCTCTGGAGACCCCCTAGCTGCAGAGACCTCATCAGACTAGGCCCAAGCTCAGGGCTTCTTTCCCCGACAGGAACTGTCCTCCAGTGGGACCAGAGTGCCAGCACAAAAAAGAGGGGATGCCTCTTTTTCCATCTCACGCCACTATTGCTGCTCTGCGGTGCTTGGGCTGATTTGATTATCAATCAACAGAAGCATTGAGAGCAGAAATTCAAGGAGGACATCCTTATCAAACTGGGCCATACAGCACTGGGGTGTCCTGAATCAAAAGCATGTTTCTGAACCATTAGTAAAATATATACTTATTTCGGGATGCAGGGCAGAGAAAAGTGGCGATTTCGCAGTGCGATGCTGCGAAACTGAGGTCATGGCACAGAACAGGGAAGACTGCATAATACTGTGGCTTCTTGAGGGTTAGTTGGTCATGGTTCCCATCAAATGGCCAAGCGATCAGCCACGATGACCACGGGAGACCCCGGCCTTGCAACAACTGCATATCAGTCTCAGTACAAAATTCCTTGAACCCACACCATCCGTTAGGGAGAGGGAGAAATAAAACAATATGTTGCCTTGGTACATTCCAGCTTGCAGAGAGGAAAGCGGCCTTCCTCCTCATTGAACATTTGAACTGGCTCCAATTCATGGCAAGCTGTAATGAGAATTAAGGACTACTGGAATCGGGATTGCAAAATGTATTACTGTATTACCTACTGGGCCCACCAAGCCACAGAACAGTCAAAGGATGCGTTTCACCAATGCAGTTGCCAGCTTGGATACCGGGAAACTCTCCCTGGTAAGTATGTCGGCAAGCAGTGACAACACCGAACACTCCTCTCCCCGATTTCCTCTGCAGTGCTGAGACTCTGGAGGGTCCCTGGCCCTGCTGGCTGGGACAAAGACACTGCTCCTTCTCGGAGCATTCTGGATGCGCAGACACCTTGGGCAGGGTGAGTGGGAGGCACCCTTCTTTGCACTGGGCTAAACGCAGATCGGGAATAAGGAAGAACCCTGCTGTTTCTTGGAGCTCCATGAAGGGACATTCCATCAACGCACACTGCGCTCTGAAGTGCTGGAGAGCAGTCAGAGATTTAGCTCTTCTGAATACCTCCCAGGTGGGGAAGTCCTCTGAGCAGAACAGATGTCTTAGAGGTGCACTCTAGAACCCCACCAAAGAGCACTTACATGGAGTCAGAAAATCATTCCGCAGCTCCCCAGACTTGGAAGCATCTTTGTGTTGTGAGGTATTTCCATATCATTAAAACCCATTGAGGGACAACTTGACAACTGTACAGAACGGGGTTATGAAGGGGGTCCACTCGTGACACAGGCCTGCCAAAACGCACCAGCCCAACTCCCCCCGCCCTCCACGGCAAGACTTGGGGCCTTAATGCTTTCCAATAAGGGGACATTAGCAGGACCACCTGAAGCCACCCAGCAGCCTGAACTCCCGAGTCCACTGCCAAGAGCTATGAATGGATAACGCAGTGCTAGGCAAAGCACGTTTCCAACAGGAAAAACCGCACATCAGCAGATCCGACAGCTGCAGACACAAGTCTCTTAGCACATGCACATATTCCGGGGAAGCCATGCTCAGCTATGAAGTGCGCGCGCGCGCGTGTGTGTGTGGTGGGGGGGGCACCCAACATGCAGGAGATCTGCTATTTTGTCTGCAGAAATGCTTTTCCATGGACCAGCATGGAAATGACGACAATACACCTTCCGACTCTATTGCAGCTGACAGTTGCTTCGTGGATTTGGAACGCTGGAGATACATGACCTGGCCCCACACATGGAGTGGGCGGTTCCATGGCTGCCGAGTCCTTTCCCCACCAATCTAACAAAAGCTCCACCACAACTAGCCAAAGGGAAATACTCTAGAAAGGAGGTTCTTGCAACTTAAATGCAAGGAAGAACAGACCGACCAGCCTCAGCATTTGCTTTAGGCATCAAACATTGCCTGGTTCGACATTAATTGCCTCTTCGGCGTATGCAGTCAGTACACCAATAGTCTGCCACACCTGAGCTTGTGCAGAAAGCCAAGGCCACTGAAGGGAAGGGGTTGCACAGACGGGAGCTGGTTTACTTTTCAGTGACTGGGAAAGCAAGGAGGTTTGGCTGCAAACCCAGTGGTGGCCACTGGCTTTCTCCTGTACTGATGAATGGGTTTCCCCAGAAGTCAATTACCACATAAAAGTGCTGCACATATAGATATATTTGCGCAGAGGGAATAAATGGCTATCTCCTTGTTGGGACTGCATGCCCTCATCAACAAGATTACAGATGACACATCATGACTTGGCATGAGTTGTACCAGTGACCTCCAAGGAGGAGTCACTGTGACCGCAGGTACCAGCACTTGGGACATGCTCTTTGCTGCACGGGCTCCTCTCCCACCACCCCACAGCTGATCACTACTGCACCTTACAGCTGACACGCAGCATGTCCCCTGGCTCCTCACCCCTGAAGCTTTTCCAGTAGCCCAGTTCACAGCAGCTGGCTGCCCACCACTAACGCAAACAATGCAGAGCTAACAGGCCCCGATGAGTCAAAACAGCCACTGCAAAAATAATGTGTGAAAGAGAAAGAATGGGACAGAGGGCCTTACTTGAGGTAACAAGGAGCTGCTAGGGGCTCTTGGACCTTGTAATGAAGAACAGTGGATGATATAAAACCCATCCTTTATAGCAAGAGTGTGGACAAGGATTATAGCTCGATGGTAAAGCAGAAGCTTTGCAAACAGAAAGCTCTAGGTTCCATCCTTCGTGCACAATGGATTTGTGGAGGATGTTGTACCTAAACAGACAGTGGCTAACCCAGGCCCTCTGGGTTGCAGGGCTAAAAAAGGGGGCCTTTCCTCCCCAAGATACCAGAGAACTATGCCAGTTGCTGCGAATACCTAGATGTCTTGTTTCATACACAAGAAGGGATTTAAGACTTGCAGGCTACAGAATTTGGAGTAAGAACTAGACACATATCTGGTAAAGCAGACAAATATTACCACTTCCTACATCAAGCAAAGATTGCATAGTACAGCACCAAGCAACAGCTCCTTAAAATGGGATTCCTGCATCACATTGTACCAGAAGATACCTGAACCACTAACTTGAATATGGAAACTTACGCTATACTCCACTAAAACTACTATTTAGACACTGGTCCAAAATTGACCAAATTCCTGTCTGGAAAGTGCTTCAGTGTGAGACTATGATACATATGGCTATGTCTGAATAGACTAGATGGGCAACTGGATATGTTATATATGTAGGAATTAAACACTAAAAATGTTGGATTGTAGCATATACCCCTAAATGTCAGACATTGGGAGTACAAACAGGGATCACTGCCTGCATGGCTTGCTGGGCCTCCAAATAGGCTGTTGAACTCCAGCTCTGTTGGATTCAATCCAACAGGAACCTTCCTACTCTAGCGAAATGTCATTAAGAGCCTGAAAGGAGGACAGGTATTACTTCTAAGTTCTGTACAGCATCTTACAGTTGTAGGTACTTTATAAACCAGACACCACCACTGCCTGTAGGCACATCAACACCACAGAACCCTGAAGGGCTCTTGATTCTCTATTTGAGATTATGGTATAGGCAAAAAAAGTAAATGAGGACACCACAACAGAGTCTACACAAATAGGTATATCTTAAAGAAAGTGAACAGAATTAAGTTGTTCACTCTTTCTTTTACCGTACTAAAACTTGATAGTCATGCAATGAAGCAATAAGCCGTAAGTGCAAAACAAACCAGGATTCTGCCAGGTGAAGTGATGATGCCCACAAACTTGGTTGAATAATCAAGAAATTCAGGAAGAGACACCTCTTAGCCATGACAGGTTGATGGAAAATCAATATGCTAAATTAGCATACCTTCATTTAGAGGTCTATTGCCTCTGTGACCTATTTCTAGGAATCTTAGAAGCATTTGCCGGCCACTATATAAACAAGGTAGCACACATGCCTTTGCTGTAACCCAGAAAAACACTTTTATAGTCTTATAGATGGGATACTGGTTTACAGCCATAGTTCAGCAACGGGGGGAACTTTGCAGGAAAGCAGTTCCAGATTTTACCTTTGGTGTCTTTACTTAAAACAGTCAGGTAACAAGAAGGAGTAGGCCAGCCTTCCTAACGAGTTGAACTACAACTCCCAGCACCCCCCTGGAAGCCACCAGCTCGGTGAAAGCAGAAATAGACAACATTGTTCAAGAACAATTATTCTGATATACTACAATGTAGAGTCCTCTACATCCCACTTTAGTTATTAAAAGCTATAACGGTGACTACAGTGCTCCCATGATAATCTGAAAATCCTCTAAATAAATTACCAAGAGATGGCAAAACTAGCACTTCACAACCCAGCTCCCAAACCAGGAGGAAGTTTCCAGGTAATTCTCCCCCTTCCCCCGTGCTGTCCTTCAGATGCCTGTGGCTCCAACTCCCACCAGTCCTAGCCAACATTTTTTTCATTTGCGTTTCATCGTCAATTTCACCCGAAGAGAATCAAGAAACTGACTAACCCACCTGTGCAATTAACAAGGGCATACCAGCATAAATCATTAAGTCTCCCCAGATGTTCGGGAACAACTCCCATCAGCCCCAGCCAGCATGGCCAATGGTCGGGGACGCTAGGAGCTGTAGTCCGTAGCATCTGGCGAGCACCAGCTGTGGGCAAGAGTCTGGGAGACTAACCTTGCCCTCCTTACAGGCAGCCACAGGACGAGGCAAGGGAGCCAGGCAGAAGTGGGATGGGGCGGGCGGAGAGGGGGAGCGCTCGGACGCCTGGGTCCTCTCGGAGTGGGCGGCGCCCGGAGGGGGCGGGGCTTGGGGCGGGGCGGCGGGAACCCCGCGCTCTCTCCGCGAGGAGAGGTGGTCTGGCGAGGGGCTGAGGCGCGGCCCAGGACCCCACTCCCCACTTACGGGCCTAGCGGGAGCCGGCGCTCCCTTCCCTCGGGGCCGGGTCCCTCGTCCGAGCACCCCCGCGGAGAAAGCGGCTGGCTCGGGGGTCTGGAGAGGGCGCGGGGTCGCCGGGGGACGCCGCCGCCGCCGCTTCCGGGGCCGCCGCGGAGGCTTCCGACGTCCCAAAACACAAACAAACAAACAAAAAATCTGTTAACAGGCGCGCTGACCCGGAAGCGCTCCCGCCTCCATTCGGAAGTGACCCGGAGTAAAGGGGAAGAGCAGCCGCTCGCCGAGCTTTATGCGCGTGCGCGCTACAGGCGGGGGCGGGGCTGGGCGCGCTAGCCAGGAAGAAGGCTGGGTCCTAGCGCGCTCCGGTTTCAGCCGGGTTGTGCCCGGCCTCATCGCGGTGGACCCGCTCCTTCTGAAGGGAAAGCCGCGGGGAAAGAAAAAAGTGGGCACCAGAGGTTCCATGCATCGCTTAGGCTGGAAAGGTCCTCGGGCTCCCGGCATTACGGCTGGGGAAGTTGTAGGATTTTTTTCTGCCTAAACTTGCGGGAAATTGCGCCCTTCGCCCCCATTCGACGCCCGGGCACCCCGCTAAGCACTAAGTCGTGAAAAAGTGGCGCCTCCTGCACGTCAAAAGTGCCATGAATTCACAGGTGAGGTGCATATAGCCAGGTCAGAATCGGTGCAGCGCATCGGATGGTGGTCAGATTGCAGGGGAAGCCGTATGAGGCGAGGCCGAGGGAACGGGGTCTCTTCAGCCTGGAGAAGAGGAGACTCAGAGGGGGTATGTTGGCGACATGCAGGTATGTGAGGGGGCGTCACATGGAGGTGGGCAGAGGCCTGCTCTCCCCTGCAGAGGAAGGCAGGACGCGCTCCAACGGAGCCAAGCTCAGGGAGCCAAGGTTCAATTTGGGTGCCAGGAAGCACTTCCTGACAGTCAGGACCCTGAGAGTGTGGAATGGGCTTCCTCGGGAGGAGGTGGAGGCCCCATCGGTGAGGTGTTCAAAGATAGACTGGACGTGCACATGGTGGGCATGTTGTGAGTGGAGCTGGCTGGAGCTGGGGGTCAGACTAGATGGCCCGGGAGACCCCTTCTGACTCGCGCTGTTTCTGTGCATCATGAAGAGCCATCCATCCATTCATTACAACATTACATGTGTGGGTACCATATATTTTTATTTATTTATTTAGAGAACTTCTATGCCGCCCCATTCGCCGAAGCCTCGGGGAGGCTCACAATCATAAATAACATAATATAAAACAATATAATTTAACAGTATAATTTAAGTCTCCCTGGCCAAAGAATAAAATAAATAAATAATATTAACAAAATAACGTTTGAATAAAAAGGTCTTAGCCTGGTGCCGAAAAACAAATAACGACGGCACCAGGTGGGCCTCTCTGGGGAGCGCATTCCATAGATTGGGCGCCACCGCAGAGAAAGCCCTCCTCCAAGTACCTACCCTCCTAATTTCCTTCACGGAGGGTTCCCGGAGAAGGGCCTCTCCCGCAGATCTCAAGGGGCGGGCGGGCGGACATATATGGACGTAAGCGCTCCTTCAGGTAACCAGGACCCAAGCCGTTTAGGGCTTTATAGGTCATCACCAACACCTTGAATTGGGCCCGGACTTCAATGGCAAGCCAGTGAAGCTGACGGAGGACTGGAGTCATGTGAGCATAATGCCCAGTCCCTGTCAGCAGCCTGGCAGCTCTATTCTGAACCAATTGAAGTATCCGGACTGTCTTCAAGGGCAGCCCCGTGTAGAGTGCGTTACAGAAGTCAAGTCGGGAAGTCACCAACGCGTGTGTCACTGTCGCCAGGCAGTCGTACTCCAGGTAGGTGCGCAGCTGATGGATCAGCCGAAGCTGAAAGAAAGCGCTCCTCACAACCGCCGTCACCTGGGCTTCCAGTGAAAGCTCTGGGTCGAGGAGCACTCCCAAGCTGCGGACCTTGTCCCTAAGAGGGAGTGCAACCCCATTCAGGACTAGGTTTAATTCACCCTCCCCAAAGCCCGATCCGCCAACAGGACCTCCCTCTTGTCTGGATTGAGCTTCAGTTTATTGGCCCTCATCCAGCGCATTACCTCGGCCAGGCACCGGTTCAGCACAGCCACTGCCTCACCCGGATTGGTGGAGAACAAGAGGCAGAGCTGAGTATCATCCGCGTACTGGTGACTCCGCAGCCCACACCTCCTGATGACCTCTCCCAGCGGTTTCATGTAGACGTTAAGCAGCAAAGGGGACAAAATGGACCCCTGTGGAACTCCAGGGCATAGCTGCCATGGCGCAGAGCCATATAGTGTTTTAAGAGAGGCTGGGGTTTTGCAACTTGTTATTCGAATACTGAAGGTGCAATCCTATAAAATATCTTAGTGAACTCTTCTGAATTCAGTGGAGCAACCCCAAAGGGAGGCAATGCAATGAAGAACTCGCAGCATAATTCTTGAGCAAATGTAGGGCCAAAGGTTTTTTGTTGTTGTTCACAGGAATATAGACCAAATGAGCAGGCGGGAGGGACTGTAGAAAAAGTTCCTCCTTCTGCTAGTTCAAAGTGGAGAACCCTTCCTGCAGTCATTCAGTAGTGGTAGTAACTTCCTTTTTCTTCATATCTTGTTCTTTCTTGCTGTAATAATCCTTTCCTTTTTACTTTTGTACTAAAAGAATAAGTAGACAACATTCTGCGCCAAACTGCTGGAGTATTGGGAAGAGCTAATCTGAGAAGCAGTACAGAATTAGGGATCATGACACTAACAGGGAAGCAAGTGAGGATAATTTCAAGAGATGTTTTATTCAAAATATTTGAACATCAGTTCTACACATACTGCACTTTTGTAATTTTGCGTGCACTCAGTGTGTACCTAACAATGCCTTTAGAGAAAACACACGCAGTACTTAATGTCAAAAAGCTGCCACTCTACGGCCATTTCAGTAGACATGTCACACTTCACAAGTTGTGCTTGCTTACTCCACCATCCGCCCACACTTTTCCTTAATCTTTTGGGCCAAAATCCAGGTGGGGAGGAGGATGTGCCCCTTAAAGCTACACATGACCAAGACTGCCAAGCACCTGGAGTTCACTTCGTTGCTAGAGGAACCCTCCTGTGAGTTGACCCACATCTGTTCTGGAGAAACAGTGGACTAGCTCTCCACACACTGGAAGACCGGCAGCATTCTGGCTTCAAAGTGAAACTGAGCATGCCCTAGCACAACAGCTAGCAGGATGGTGTGGGGCAGAAAACCTGGGTAACTTTAAAACTGGTACTTAGAACTTCATGGATGAAACCAATGAAAGGCACATCTCCTTGACAATCCTGAATAAAGCACATCAGTAATTTTCTCCAGAATTTGAAAGAAATGTATCTTATGCAAAGCAACTGCTTGAAGTGAAAATCTATCAATTTCAATACTAGTGAAATTGCTGAATCTGCAACAATTGGCACTGGATCAGTTTGAAACATTGTGCAGTTGTAGACCTTCTTAGGCAATTCTATGGACTCCATAATTCAAGTTGTCATTATTAGCAGGAGAAGTGTGAGGCTTATAATAGCAAAACAATGTTGTTGTATTGCAAATAACTAAAACAACATTCTTGTGCTCCTTTAAAGAGCAGAAGGGCCTAACCAGACAGAAAGTGATTGGAATCCACAGCAATCTGATCCTATTCATGTTTACTAATCAGTAAGGCCTATTAAATTCAAAAGGATTTACTCCCAAGTAAAGATGCATATAACTGCTGCTTGCCCCATTAAGTTTTAGGCTACAGTCCTAAACATACTAAGGAGTAAGTTCCACTGAAAACAGAAAAGTTACTTCTTGGTAAATAAGCCCAGGACTGCAGTGCTCATCTTCTACTTCTTGGACAGCTAACACATGAACTGAGATCTGGCAAACAGATAGTTGTTGACAGCACTTGGATTGCCTTGAAAAAACAAAAATAAACACATGGAACATTTTGTCATAGGCAGTGTCCAAGGATGCTTAATTAAGAGTGTCTCCAATTATATACGCAGCACAGCATTGGGGAGCATTGCAATCATAAATAAAGGAAGACATGGATAAATTCATAATTAAAAATGCATTAGAAATTACAAGCATAATTTATTTACTAATGCACATTGGAATAAATTTTCAGTGTAATATTTTTAAATGTGGCATTAATAAATAATAGTAAACAGAATGTTCATATAAAATATTTTCATAAATACTTACAGTCCAACATGCCATTACAGGCACACAGAAATAAATTTTATACAGCCGAACCACTTTTTTAAAAAAAAACGTACACGATGCCTCTGGAAGTCACTCAGTATAAAGAAAAATGAAACCCAAAGGACTGTCAGGTATGATTGCAGGTTGACACCAATCATACATTCAGAGTGAGACTCTTAAGTTTTAGTATGTCTTAAACTCTGACATTATGAAAACAGCTTCTGCCACAGAATGGATGTATCTTGGACTGCATCTGTGCATCTTCCATTGATTTGATACAGGCAGGTACAGGGCTTTTGTGTAAATCCCACCGGAGTCAATTAACGGACATCGTGTAAAAGGAGTACTTGCTACACCATAGCCTTTAACTTCCAAGGTGCCGGCTAAGGTGCACTGAAGAGCCTACCACTGTCCCTGTGTCCCTTTACATGTGACCGTAGCTCTCTTGAAGTATGTGGGGGGCGGGGGGGGCATTTGAGGCATGTGTTGATGTGTCGCAGCAACAACAAAGTGTGCATTCCTAGGACTCGGAAGCAAGTCCTGTCAATTGTCCTTAAGTGCAGGTAGGTTGCTACGGGATCCCAGCTAGAGCCTTGTGGTACCTTAGAAGCACAAAGGTATTGTGGCAAAAGCATTTAAGGACTCCCATCTGCTTGATAGTCTAGGGAAACAGGACTCCAGAAAAATGGCAAAGTTTAAAGAAACCCTGTATGACTGTATTTCACAGCCCCCAAACAAAAGGATAGTAGCTGCCCACAATCCAACTCCAAAGCACCCCTTTGTTTTGTTTTAACCTCCCGTGCCCCCCACATCTCTCTCTCACACACACACAAATGACCCTGACAGTTCTTTCCTTCAAGGAGGCAAAGCTTCATTACCTCTTTAATCAAAACTGAATCTTCAAAGGAGCACTCAGTGCAATTTACTCCCAGATCCTTTGCAGGACAACAGCCTAACAGTGAACCCATTTGGTTTAATGGATTAAATTTCAAATTTAGAACTGGGGTCAGTAAGATCCCTTGGTGGGGCTTTTATTTGACCCTATGCCCATTCAGAATTAAGTCCCACAGAATTCGAGAGAGCCAAGTAAGCATGTAGCCCCACTTCCACAGCTTGCATCTCTTCATCTAGTCATGCTGGATGGGGTGATGGGAGCTGTTGTAACCCAAAGCATCTAAGAAGAGGCAACGCTGTAGTTTGGAATACATGCATGGCTAAAACCCACTCAAGGCTGCATCTTTCTCTCAGGTAAAGACAGAATCATGTCACCCAGCCAGTCCCACTATGCAAAAGCAGAAATTGCAGTTCAGTGAACCGGCTTCCTGGGAAGCTGCCAATGTCCAGGCCTAACTTTCAAGGAAAGCTGCCGTAACTCCTAGGACAGTAGAGCTTCTTAACCGCAGCAGATTTTATTTGGAGCTTTGCATGTGCTGTCCGTGGTCCTGAAGCTATTTTAAGCTCCCCGAAGCTCAAAATAAAAGTTGGAATGGATGAGGAGCCCACCAACAGGAGAGTCACAAGCCCCCATGCGATAGGAAGTCTTTCTAAATTTACGTTAGTACACATATATTAACGGATGCTCCTTGAATTCAGAACTGTGCCTCCTTTCGACGTCTTCTTGATGAGCTGTTTCTTCTTTTGTTATCCGTTAATAGCTTAGCCATTTATGGAGGCTACGCGGGAGCAACTGTGGGGGGCGCTTCACTGGGCCCAGGGAGAGTTACTTCCGAGGAAACCCAGGCACACTCGCTGCGCCAAGCAGAAGCAGCCGGCGTCTGTGTGCGGGGTCTCCATGGAGAGGAGGCGGGGGCCCGCGCAGTTAGAGAAAGCCACGCACCAACTCGCCGGTCCTTTGCTAGGCCGACAACTCCCAACAGGCCGGCCGTTACCATGGAGACCCACAAAGGCCGGCGGAGCGCGGCCCCAGTCCTTTCAGTCCCCGCCCCTGCCCTCGCCGCGTCACGCTGCCGTTCGAACGAGCCAATCCCAAGTTCCTCAGCGAAGAGTGGGCGGGATGAGAGGCGGGCTTTGTCCCAGACATATACACGCTCCCATTTCTTTCGCCAAAGTCGCCCTCTGACTGGCTCAGCTTTCGCTTCTGTCGTCGCGCGCTAGGATTGGCCGCGAGCGAGCAGGAGGCGGGAGATGCTTGCTCGCTCTCTATAGGGAACTATGCATGTACGTTTGTTTTGTGCAGAAGCCACGCCCCCTCAGCTAACGGAGGCGGGACGTTATCCCTCTCCGGCGCGCGACACACCTGTCCCCCTCCCACCCAACCGCCCCCGTGGCAACAGAGGAGAAACCAAATGACCGTTAAAAGCCCCACCCTTCGATGGGAGGGGCAAGATAAAGAGGGATGCTCGAAACCCGGTGGATAAAGGAGTGGGAGGGGCCGGTGGGTGTCAAAGTGAGCCGAAGGGGAGGGGCTTATGAGGCCAAAAGGCGTGGCTACGAGCCAAAGTGGGAGGGGCTAATCTCAGGTAGGGAGGAAGAAAGGGAAAATTTCATGAAGAGCAAAGGGGAGGGAGAACTTGTGAAGGAAAGTTGGGCTGGGGGGGTAGAGTTGGGTTAGGTCATGTTGGCGACATGCAGGTATGTGAGGGGGCGTCACACGGAGGTGGGCAGAGGCCTGTTCTCCCCTGCAGAGGAAGGCAGAACGAGCTCCAGCGGAGCAAAGCTCAGGGAGCCAAGGTTCAATTTGGGTGCCAGGAAGCACTTCCTGACAGTCAGGACCCCGAGGGTGTGGAATGGGCTTCCACGAGAGGCGGTTGAGGCCCCATCGGTGCGGGTGTCCAAGGATAGGCTGGACGTCCACATGGCAGGCATGTCGTGAGTGGAGCCGGCTGGAGCCGAGGGTCAGACTAGATGGCCCGGGAGGCCCCTTCTGGCTTGCTCTGTTTTTCTGTTTCTACCCTTCCTCTGCATTGCGCCTTCCAGGTGGGTTGGACTACAACTCCCATCATACCCAGCCACTGCAGAGTCGCACTCCAGAGGGAAGGTTGCCTTGTTTGGACTGTGCCTTGCTTCCTCTAGATATGATGGGTGGCAACTTCTATCATCCTCAGCATGGCTATTGGCTTGGGGATAGTGGGAGTTGTTCAGGGCAGCAGGCTCACAGCTGTGAGGGGATGGAAGGGAAATCCATCATGCGGCCAGGGGAGGGGAAAGAGGCGGGGTCGCATCCAGAAAGGTGCTTGGGAGGGAAGGGCTGAAATAAATGCATGGAGGTGAGGCAAGAGGGAGCCGGGAAGCAAGGCGGGAGGTGCTGAGGAGGACAACTGGGGCCGAGTGTGAAGGCCAGGTAGGAGGGTGAGGGCAGAAGGAGGGGTGCCACGTTTATTTCAAGCAGGGCTCCTTCCCTTTGCCTGCTTGTTGAGAAGCTGTCATTTTTAAAAAATGCAACTGACCGGTTGTGTCAATGGCTGGCTAAGAGGGCCTGAAAAACAGCAACAGCTTCCGACCATGCCAGAAGAGGTGTGTCACTGCACAGTGGCTCTGCTGGGAGGGTGGTCTCTTGACCCACCTTTTCCACCTGCTTTATGAGCCTCCTTTGACAGCAGCCCTGGCTATGCAACAAACTGAGGCAGGGAGGCAAATGGTGTAAACTTTGTCCTGACTTTTTCATCGATGCTTTCCTGGAATTTGCATTCTGTGCCGTGTGCATCTGATTTCCTTTGAATTGTTCTAAACTGCCCGGAGAGTGTTGGCTATGGGGCAGGACGAGATGACATTAATAGTATCCTCTGCAGGGACAAGGCAGGAGAGGAGGAGGCCTGGCACTCTGGCTCCAGCTAGGCATAGCGCCTTCTGGAGATGAGCCAAGAAGAAGATTTACCGGGCTGTCAGAGGGACAGGGCATTGCTAACGGGGACGGAGGAGTGCTTCCATCCTAGGCACAACGCCCTCTTCTAATCCGCTGCCAGCACCCACTGTAAGGGTAATAAATGCCATTTGCAGAGCAAGGCATTGCCAGCTTCGGGGTGCAGGAGCGCTCGTATGATGCTTTCAGCAGGCTCGCACTGCAGACCCGAAGCCCTCCTGAAGGCAGCTGAGGAGCGCTTCCCTTGCAGCGGCAAGTCTGGCAGCCCTGCTCCGCCGGCCGCAGGAGGCGTCCCGTCCCAGGCAGC